CTATTTTAAAATGTTCATCTTAGACCCACACAGGTTAACTCTGCCAAATATAAACCAAGCAGATTGAATTGTTTTTTAGGTGTTTTTTTTTTTTTTTAATTTTAATCACAAGTCATTCACTTGTATCCCAGCTGTAGCCCCCTTCTTCTTTCCCTCCCAATTCCACCTTCCCTCCCTCATCTCCTCCCTGCCCCCTTCCAAGCCCACTGATAGGGGAGGTCCTCCTCCCCCTCCATCTGATTCTAGCTTATCAGGTATCTTCAGGACTGGCTGAAATGTCCTTATCTGTGGCCTAGCAAGGCTGCTCCTCCCTGGGGGAAGGGGGAAAGCTCAGTGAGACAGTCATTGAGTTCATGTCAGAAATAATCCTTGTCCCCCTTACTAAGGAACCCACTTGGATACTGAGCTACCATGGGCTACATCTGAGCAGGGGTTTTAGGTTATATCCATGCATGATCCTTGGTTGGAGAAACAGTCTCATAGAAGACCCCTATACGTTTGGTCCTTGTGGAGCTCCTGTCCCCTCTAGGTCATACTAACTCCCCCTTCTTTCATATGATTCCCTGCACTCTGCCCAAGATTTGGTTATGAGTCTTAGCATCTGCTTTGATACACTGCTAGGTAGAGTCTTTCAGATGCCCTCTGCAGTAGGCTCCTGTCCTGTTACTTGTTTTCTCCTACTTCCAATGTCGATCTACTTTGTCTTTCTAGGTGAGGATTGATCGTGTTACCCAGGGTCCTCTTTCTTGTTTATCTTCTTTAGGTGTACAGATTTTAGTATGTTTATCCTATCTTATAGGTCTAGTATCCACTTATAAGTGAGTAAATAGTATGTGTGTCTTTCTGCTTCTGGGATACCTCACTCAGGATGATCTTTTCTAGTTCCCACCATTTGCTGGCCAATTTCATGATTTCCTTGTTTTTAATTGCTGAGTAATATTCCATTGTGTAAAAGTACCACAATTTCTGTATCCATTCCTCCGTCGATGGACATCTGGCTATTACAAATAAAGCTGCTACAAACATGGTTGAGCAAATGTCCTTGTTGTGTACTTGAGCATCTTTTGGATATATGCCTAGGAGTGGTATAGCTGGATCTTGAGGTAGCACTATTCCTGATTGTCTGAGAAAGCGCCAGATTGATGTCTTTTAGTTTTAATCTTGCTCGTGAAACTGATTCCTATGCGAAGAGTCTTGAGTGAATGAGTCCCTCTGAGCTGCCTACACTGACTGTAGATGACCTGTATCTCTCCTGTATCCGCTCTTGAATCCCTACTCAAGAGCCACATACTGAAACAAAACAGTAAAGCACTTTGCAACAAGACTGATACACTTCCTGGTAGCCCTGGCCCAGATCGACTTCTCTGCTGAGTCTTCATGATGTGTTCTTGTGCTTATTGGCCACCATCATGTCTTAAGGGAAACTCCTTCTGCATCCCTTCTGATCGGCTACAAAAGTCACAACCACACATTTGATGGGGTAGAACCACATCTGTCTGTCATCTGTACCTTTACAACACCTCACAGTGTGTCATAGTTCAGCTGGAAGGTCCTTAACTGAGATGGGTTTAACGTGCAATGCAATGAAGTGGGCCTGTGTCGGAGTGCTCACTCTGTGTGTCCCGCCGAAGGACCAACGTATTGTAATGAACACGTACCCTAACATAAAACACATACCCTGATTATTAAACATGAACTCCAATTATGAAACATGCACCCTGGTTGTTAAACACATATTTACATTCCTGAATATAAAACCACAGCTTCCTCAAAACTTGGTTAGTCTTGCCTTCATCACCATTTCCAGAATTTAGCAGGTCTATAGGAAGGACCTTGTATGAAGGAATCTTCACTCTACCAACCCCCTCACAGTCATTAGCCTTCCTGATATCCTCCCAATCACCTGTATTGTCTCCTGCCTTTTCAAGCAAGAAAACACTAGGCTGTCTCCACCATGGTTGCTATGGCTGTAGCGGAAAGCCACCTGTGGTGGAAAGCCGCCTGTAGCGGCCTTTTTAAAAACTCTCCTTTATTTGGAGTGTTGAGGCCTCTACCTCCCTTCCATTAACCCCCAGCCTTAAGTAGGAGAGAGAAAAGGTTAGTGGGAGAGGGGGCCCAGACCCCTTCACTTCTCCCTAATTAGGGTCAAGGGGTTCTCTCAGGGCTCTATACCAATCTCCATCAACCACAGACGCAGCCAGCAGGCTCCTTCACACCCCTGCACCCCAAAGCATTTCTCCCTGTCTGTCTGCTCTAAACGGCCACACTGTCTCTGCTCCATGCCACACGCCAAACTTCACCAAACACCTCCGAACACCAGTCTCTTGCTCAGCCTCATATTTGTACTCTCAGAGTCCTAGACCACGCCCCTCTCCTTGGCGTGTGGAAGGCTGTTACCAGCCAGCAAAGATCACACCCCTCAATTAACAGGCGTGGACAAACTAAAATCCCACACTTGGAATCAAAACAAAAACATATTTACATGACATACAAAGAAACCAAAACTTGCATTACAACTGTCACAATCCCTGATATGAGCATGCGTCTCCATGCCACTTCCTGTCTCACCCCAGACTCTGCCCGCTAGATTGTTACACTTACATACTCTGGCTGCGGCTGACCCTGGCCAGTTGTAAACAATGTGACTTTTAGCGTATCATAAGAACAAGGGAAAATGGAACACTAAATTTTAAAAATTGAGATGGTTTGCCTCTGTAGCTCATGCTAGCCTCCAACTCACGATTCTCCTACCTTGACTTTACAAACTCTGGGACTGCAAACATGTGCTACCATACCTAAAAGTAAGATAGTTCAAAAGTAAACCTAAACTTCTGGTCCAGGGAAAGAACAGAGCAGAAACACAAACAGGAGTTATACTGCTCCAAATGTATTTTATTCTGTGTCTTTTTTGCCTAGGAGGTGTTTAAGTATTTTAAGCGACTATGCAACAAAATGAAACTTTAAAAAATGAATTATCATAAAACAACAACCACATTTTAAAAATGACTCACAAATTATTTTAAGTTAAGTCTGCAACATAATCATTTGATAAACTTCTTGTAGAAATCTCCTAAGGACAAAGAAGACAGCATAAACAGGACCTTATTTCTAGTAAAAGCACTGTTGGTATAATGATCATGCTGCAATTTGGGGATATGTTTTGTAGAATAAATCAACTGATTATTCTGTTGGTATCCTTGGAGACAAACCAATTTTGGCATGCAGAAAAGAGATGCAGATGATGGAAGACTGGAGTTATTAAATGAAAACTGGGTCATCTTGAGTTTTAATTAAAAGGACTAGTCTGAATTCACCATTTGCGTGCTGGTTTTTAAGTCCTAACTGTCCACTGAAAAAGCCTGGAAACTTGATTACAGTTTCAAGACATCATTCACACACACACACACATACACACACACACACACACACACACACACACACACACATAACCACACCACACACAGCACAGCATGTACCACAAACACACACCACACCATACGCACACACATCACTGTAAAAGGAACTTTTATTCGCCTGTTGTCGTCTGGGAGGATCATTGCCTCTCCTGCTAAGGGAGGCCTAGTCCTGGAAGCTTCTAGCCTCCGTACCGTCTACAATGTTTTCAGCCTCTGAGACTTACTGCTGAGTAAGCTCACCCTTTCTTGTTCTTTCTGAGCTCTGGACTGGCTGGTTCAACTCAGCTGTTCTAGTTCAAACTCCTCTCCCAGCTGACTTATTCAGTCTGGCTTTTCTCTTGGCCTCTGAATTGCTCTACTTGGCCTCAAACCAAGTCCAACCATCTCTTCTAATCTTCAGGCTCCTTCTCATCCTCTGGCTCATTCTGTCTTCTCCTGTGTCTAGCTTGTCTTCTCTTCTGCCTGTTTCTGTATATCTGTCCTGGTAAACTGCCTTCTTTTGGAAAACTCTCCCAGGCAAACTGCCTCGTCTCTCTCTCTCTCATCGCCTCTTAGTAGCTTCCCTTTCCTCTCTCTTCTCATGAGAGTTGGGCACATCCATTCTGTCAAGTCTTTCACTGTTTCAGCCACTCAGTTAGACATCACTTTCAAACACAGGCGCTTCCTTCTACAAACTGTCTTCACCTTTATTGTTTGGGATTAAAGTTGTATCCCTCATGCCTGGATCTAAGCTTTTCTTTACCTGACACTTGCTCTAGACCAGGCTGACCTTGAACTCAGATCTGCTTGCTTCTATCTCCTGGGTTAAAGGTGTGTTTGTATTCCAGCCAGATCACACAGACCTAGAAGGTCTTTGGATGTAATCTCTCAACAGAGCAGCCATGTTCTGAATTAACATTCCTCTACAGACCCCACACACACACATGTACACATACACACCACACACACACCACAGCACACACTACACACATATAACATACACATACACACACACACACA